ATTCGTTATTAATATAGTAATTATTATTATTATTATTTATTAATTAGGGGGGTGGTCTTTATCCACAGTTATATCAGGGGCTACAATTATTAATTAGCTGTTATACTAGAAAAACAACAAACAGAGAAAACACAAGGTAATAACAATAAATAAACAAACAAATTATTATTAATTATTAATTCAGTCCCACTAGATGCTGTACCCCAGCTTCCTCCACCTCTACAGTATCAACTGGTATTAGCCACTCCCTAGCCACACCTACTGCCCCACCCCCTACTCACAGAGGCTCCGCCCAGTACAGGCAGTACAGGTGTCTATTAGCGTCTGAGGTGGTTCATTTAATGTGTCTAGTACCAGCATTCTTTCATCATCTGGACTCTAATAATGGTAACGTGTTACTATAAATAGAGTAATGTGTTACTTTGTGTTACTAAAAATAGAACATAGAACAATAGTAAAATAGTATTTTCATGAGCACATCAAACACTGGTTCACATTTTTGAGAAGCAATCTTTATCAGTTTTGATGAGATTTGGCCAAAGAACAAAGACTATAGCTTACGGTCTTTGGCCCGATTTTGGAGCAACTTTAAAAAATCTAGATTCAATTGAAATCACCTTGAACTTACTACGCAGCATAAATACATGTACATGTATATGTGATTATTATTATTATTATCATTAGGTGTACTGGAGATGGTATCAGTGGCTACTAATGATACTAATATTGGTAGTGTCATTAACCACATAGCCTGGAGGATACAGAACAATGGAGTAAGAGAATACATGTACTGTATAGCGGGTAATTTTGGAGGCCGGGACTAAAATTTGGCGAATTGTTAAATTTTGGTGATTGGTGGATTTTAATTTGGTAAATTTGTGGCCACATACCATTGAGCATACGTATAATGGCTCAAAATGGCGGATTTTATTTTGGTGAATGGCTATCAAAATGCCAAATTCACCAAATTTAATCCCCTCCAAAATTGCCCGCTATACGGTATCTGTATAGCAGTTTTATTGTATTCTTATAATGTTACTATTCAATCTCATGAATTTCATATTGCAATATACAATACAATACAGACTACCTGTACTGTACTACTATAATAATGAAATACATGTACATGTATCTGTCATATCCTCACCTCCTCCATTGCTCCAGGGTGATGTGTGGGATCTTTATCATGAAATAGCCACTTACCTGTTACAAGCTACCACCACTAACGTCTTCTCTAAGAGACACCACAACAGGTCACTGACTGTCCATCAGAAACAAACCAGTCACTCATCACCAGTCAAATCAGCTTCTTCTCAAATATTCCAAGTACCTTCTATTCTACATGTATTAATCTATTACATTGATTGCTCATTAATTATTAATTATTCATTAATTATTCATTAATTGCTCATTAATTATTCATAGGTCCCCAGGCGGTCCTCCTCCCCTGTCCCTCCCCCCAGGCGTGTATCATCAGCTGGTCCATCAGTACCCACTGGAAGGAGACAAAGGACAACACTTCAACCTGGTATGATGTATAGTGTATATATAATTTATTTATTTCTTTATTTGTTTGTTTGTTTATTTATTTGTTTATTTATTTATCCATATATTTATTTATTTAGAATTAGGTGATAAAGTCTTATGTGCTCCTGAAGTACGTCGATCATTAATTATTCATTATTATTATTATTATTATTATTATTATTATTATTATTATTATTATTATTATTATTATTATTATCCTTCAGAGGATGGCTAGGATAGTAGCTCTACCAGAGCCTCATGTTGCTGTCCTTCAGCTCACCGAGGTTAAAGGTATCTCAGGGGGCCCTCCTGACTCATATTTCTACACTGATCCAAGGGGTCTGGTGTGGGACAGTAGATTGGGTCACTGGTCTAAGGATGAACTGGGGTCTGATCTCAGTGTAGGAAGACTGCACACTGGTAAGGAATATATAGATAATCTGTGGAAAGTGCATGTGCATTGGCAGATTATATATTAGCAATTTTTGTTACACATGTTATTGAGAAAATGCTACAATTAGTACTTAAAAGACGTACATGTACTTCTA